TTCTATAATGACATGGATAGTTGGATTTTTGCACATTTTATGTCCCTACAGTTACACGTTACAACTTCTTTTGTGCACTTTTGGCTTCTATGGGGCCCATTCCTTGAATGTTTGGACGGTGAAGCGTTAGGGAGAATTTCGTAATAAGTGGCGATCTTGGGTCTCTCCCGCTTTCACATTATATTACCACGGATTGGGTGCCATGGTACCTATTTTCTCTATAGAGAAAGGGAAAGGCGTTTACTCTGAGAGAGAGAACTGAGAGATGAGAGACTGAGAACTCGGAGGCCATCGATTGGAGACTTGGAGGTTATCGATCGATTTAGGGAAGAAGAAGACTAGAGAGATGAGAGATTGAGAATTGAGAGTGAGAGAAAGGGAAAGGGAAAGGTGTTTACTCTGAGAGAGAACTGAGAGATGAGAGGCTGAGAACTTGGAGGCCGTTAGTCGGAGCCTGGAGGTCATCGGTCGGAGATTCAGAGGCCGCCGATCGGTCTAGGGAAGAAGACTAGAGAAATGAGAGATTGAGAGAAAGGGAAAGGCGTTTAGGTTAATTCGATTCGAAGAGAGGAATATTAGAATTTAGAAAAGTGTATTTCAGTTTTAAAAAATATAAAAATATAATATAATATAATATAATATAATATAATATAATATAAAAATAGTATAATATAATATAATATAAAATAGTATAATATAATATAAATATAATATATATAATATAATATATTTTAGTGTACATATGCCGGTCAGTTCGCTTAACTACCGGTTTTTTTAAAAGGATAATCGAAACTGAATCGACCAGTTTGGTTAACCAAGTTTTTGGTTCGGTTCCGGTCGATTTGGTTTTTTGATTTTTTTGCTCACCCCTAGTAGGAACGTGGCAGCCTTCTCTTCTTCTTAGAGTCTAACTCCAACTCTCTCTCTCTCTCTCTCTCTCTCTCCCCTCTCTCTCATGTTCCCAAAACACTTAACCAACCCCCTCCTAAAATTTCTCCTAAACTCTCCCTTCCACCTAAAGTTACTCCTAAAACAACCGCTAATCTATATTACATGCCCAATAAACCAGCTAAAAGCAAAAAAAAAAAAAATTGATTAAATTAATTTGTAAAATGTTTTTGATATTTTCAATAATCATTGATATTATTCAATAAATATCAACACATAAACTATACTTTTTCATAGTTTTGGTAAATTGGAAAATTTAATTGCTAAAAATTACATGCTGGAAATTATTGATTTTGGTAATTTAATTTCAGAAAAATTTGAAAATGAATTATTGATATCAATAATTACTAAAAGATTGTTAATTAATTAAAATATTAATAAACACAAATTTATTAATTAAAATCATTGGTAATTTTTCATTGAAAATTTTATATCAATAAATATAAATTGATTTTTTACATTTTTGGTAAATTTTGTCAATTTATTAATATTTAATGATATTGTTAGATAATAATTAAAAAATTTTAGTAATTTATTTTTTAGTGGAAAATTAATTTCAATAAATCTAAATCTATTTTTATATTTTCAGTAATTCTGATATTTAATATAATTTTGGTAATTCAATTTAGTGAAACTTAAATTTTAAGACATGGAAAATTTAGTAATTTCCATAAGTATTTTATACAACATTTATAATTACCATAATTATTGGAACTATATTTATGGGTTTAGGGGATGACCCCCCAGGTAGGAATGACAATGGGTGGGTTCGGAGCAAGGGTCATACTCCCAATCCTGATCTCAAGTTTTAAATTAATTCCTGTCTTTGACCCCGACCCCCGTTGGGAAAAAATTTAGCTTGCATCCCTGGTCCTCGATGGAGATGAGTTCCCCGTTGAGGACTTGAATCCCCACATTTTTAATTAAAAGTTTATTTTCAAAAAGGTATTTATTAAAATAAAGGAAAGTTAATATGCAAATAATAAATTAAATATATTTTGATATATATAATATAATATAAATAATATTATATATTTAATATAACATTTACACATCTAACCATCTATCCATATATAAAGCAAAGTGGTCCATGTCACCATATCTCTCCTTACTCCAAACCCCTATTTTACTCTCTCCTTAATTCTCTCTCCCTCCCCCTTCCCACCACTCCCAAACTACCAAGTTGTCAATCTTTAAAATTTCCTTACTAAAAACATTCATATTCTCTCTCTCTCTCTCTCTCTCTCTCTCTCTCTCTCTCTCTCTCTCTCTCTATATATATATATATATATATATATATATATCCCCTTTCTTCTAAAATTTCTCCACACTCCTAATATTTAACCACTCTTATTCTCTCTCCTTTTCTAACCCAACTTTCCAATTATTTAAGAAATGTCATCTCCTAATTCTAAAACCTCCCCTCATTCTTTAAATATTGCTCATAACTAACTTACTTTGAATGGTATATTAATTTTTTTTTTATAATTAATAATTTCATTTTATTTTATTATAACTCATACCAAAATTAATTAATTAATTTCGTGGTTAATTAAAAATTCCAAAACAATATTACTATTTATAGTAATTAATAATTATTATTTTATTAATATTTTTAGGATGAATTACTAATATTTTCAACAACTTACTAGTAGTTTACCAACATTGATTAATTATTTTCAGGATTAATTACAAAATGCCAAAGTTCACTTAAAATCTATTATTTAGAATTACCAAAACATATTACTTTTTTTAGTAATTAATATTAGTGATATATTACGAAAATTAATTAATGACCAATAATAATTAATTATTTTATTAATATGAAATTTTAAAAATTAATATTTGTTTTCATGAAAAATTACATTAATTATTTTTATTACTATTTTAATATTGGGATTAATTAAAACTCCCAAGATTCAATTAAAAATCTATTATTTATATATTCATCATTAATTCAGAATTACTAAAGTTTAATACCAAAATATATTATTGTTTTTAATAGTTAATTTTAGTGACATATTACCAACAAATTAAATAATTACCAATAATAATTAATTATATTATTAAGATTAAATTTTAAAACTAAATTAATTAATTTATTGCTTTTCCAATAATTCATAAGATTAGTTTTATTAATTGATAGTATTACTCAATATTACTATTAACAATAGTAGTATTTTTTTTATAAAATAAGAATTATAAGATTTATTAATTCATAATTAAGAATTATAACGACAATTATAGATTTATTCATAATTTTTTAAATTATTAATTATAAAATTTAAAAATCATTATTAACTATTTTTATGAATAATTAAAAATACCATAAATATTATTGTTTTTAGTAATTAATATTATTGTTAATAACTATAAATAAAAATTAGTGTTACTAATTACTAGCAGTGACCCGTGAGATGCATGAGTTTTGTTAAAAGAATTTGAAGCAAAATGAACTAGGGCTGTAGATTGGGTTGGGTGGGCCTAATCGAAGCCTGACCCAAATCAGCCAAAGCTTTTGCACAAGTTGGGCTTGAGTTTTTGAACTTTAAGCTATGTTTAGATCAAAAAACTCAAGGGTAACCTAAACTCAAGTTGGGCTTGAGTTGAGGTCTTGGGTAATTCGAGATTAATCCAACCAATTTGATCTCATGCCAACATTTTATGATAGACTGCTATATAGCTCAATATGCCCAAACCCAAGTCTAGCTCAAAATGTTAGGTTAAGCTCGAGTTGGGCCTATGTTGGTAAACACAAGCTTAACCTTGGGTTGTTAAACTCAGGCTTCGGTTAGTAAATTACCAGTAATTAGTGTCATTATATTTTTTGTTATATATTAATAAATTATTAATAATTATTGAAAGAGGCCTCATTTTACTAGAACTAGTATTCATCTTTTGAGATTGAGTCTTCAAACTTCAAGTTGGACTTAGACCAAAAAACTGAAGTCTAACCTAAATTCAAGTTGAGTTTGGGTTGAGGGCATGGGTTAGGCCTACTCAATTTACACCTTAACTTCTTTTGCCCATGGTTTTCAAAAGCGGACCGGATGGTTGGATTGGAGAAACATGGAACCAATCACCTGATCGGTTCCGTTTTTCCCCAAATCCGCTCTTTTCCCTAAAACCATTGATTTTGGTAAGCAAACCATTGAACTGGCTAATTAATTGTTTGAACCGTTCGAACCATTCGAACGGTTTTGACCATTTTTTTAAAATTTTTAATTTTTTTAATTTTTTTTGTCAGAACAATTCAACCATTCGGGTCAAATGGTCGGACCGTTCGAACCAGTAACCAAATCCCTGACCGATTCGRTTTTAAAAACCATGCTTTTGCCTTAAGTTATTTTAATAAAACCCATGCATCACACGGTCCCCACTAATAATATATAAAGCGGATAAAAGTTAAATTCAAATACCATATATCATATATGTCATATTTGCACAAATGCATATCATATGTTTTCACAGCAGCAACGAAAATAAAAAAAAGAAAATACCAAATCTGGAAACTGATGGATGCATGTCAACTGACCACCTAGATTAAAGGGGTGTTTGACAAGATAGTACCTCAATCAACAAACCCCACCCTCCTCTTCAAGAAAAATAAATGATTTTCTAAAACCATACTTTTAATACGTTTGGTTGTAAACATTTAAGCATTTCTCAAAAGATGAATACTAGTTCTAGTAAAATGAGGCCTCTTACAAAAATTAAGAATTTTATTCAATTTTCAAGAAAATTATTCATTTTCTTCATTTTACATTTAGTAAAACAAACCATATATATATATCAAACCCAAGAAAATTATTGTGGAAAATAATAATAATAATAATAATAATAATAATAATAATAATAATAATAATAATAATATATTGAGGTAGGAATTATTGGTGGGTAATTTCGGTCCAAGCGGATATAATTTGTAAAGAAATTAGAAGTGCGCTGAGCAAAAAGTGGAGTGGCAATAACAATATTTTCTCTGTCTAGATATCAACACTACAACATTAATTGAACGAAGAAAGTATTAAGGAAAACGGAAAGGGACGTCGTAATCAACAAGATCACATCATAAGAGGATCGCGCGCTCCTTTTCGGAACGCCTCTCGTTGCCACCTCCTAAACTGAAAAAGCCCCCACCGAAACTCCTCTTCTTCTCTCTTTCTTCCTCTCTGATCAATCAATCCGGTGCTCTCTCTCTCTCTCTCTCTCTCTCTCTCTGAATGTTAAATAAATGGAAGCTGGGACTCTAGTGTTATTCCAGCCTAGGACCCGCAAAACACTGCATTTCTTTCTTCAATGACTCGACCTGGCTTACATTTAATCGGTGCCTACCGTTTTCATTGTTGTTGCTGATGGCGTTTGATCAGAGCTCCACCCAGAAAGACCTCCGACAGTTAGACGTTGCTCGGACGGTCGCCGAAGAGCCACGTGCTGCCACTGGTTTGGCGACAGGGAGGAACGCCGAGGGATTTCTCCCTAATTCGGCTCGTGATGTTGGTAGTCCTGGGTCTAGACAACCACTGTATTATGCGGCGACGGTTCCCGATACTGGGTATGTGGGGTTAGGGTTTGCGAATCCGATGATGGCTTGGTGTTCTCGTCCGCCTGTGCTGATTGGCACCGCTGGTGCTGTGCCTGTTGGGTATACTGAATTTCCAAATGTTGGAAACCGGGTTGGAGGTAATGGGGCCGATCAGGCAAGCAATGAGGGTGGCGAAGAATCGGTGTCGGGGAAGAAAGTTAAGTTTTTGTGCAGTTTCGGAGGTAAGATTTTGCCGAGACCGAGTGATGGGATGTTGAGATATGTCGGAGGTCAGACTAGGATAATTGGCGTGAAGAGAGATATATGTTTTCAAGAACTAGTGCAGAAGATGACCGACATCTATGGCCAATCCGTGCATATCAAATACCAGCTCCCTGATGAAGATCTTGATGCCCTTGTATCGATTTCTTGTCCGGAGGATATTGAAAACATGATGGAGGAATACGAGAAGCTGGTTGAGAATTCCGATGGGTCGTCGAAGCTGAGGCTCTTCTTGTTCGCTGCTTCTGAGCCCGACCCATCTGGTCTTGTGCATTTTTGTGATTTGCAGGATAGCGGGCAGAGGTACGTTGATGCTGTGAATGGGATTCCGGATGGCGTTGGCTGTAAAATTACAGGGAAGGGGAGTACAGCTAGTGCAGGTTCTACGCAGAATTCTGATAGCTTGATGAGTGGTGGTGATGGTGCAGACAGCTTTGGTCTCGGTGGGTCGCCATCTCCAGGCGTGCTATCGCCTCGAGTTGCTGTTTCTGCTTCTCAGGAGTCTGCAACAAGATTGGTGTATGTGGGTCCAAATCCTGTGGTGTATACAGATGCTTCAGCAGTGCCTTTGGGTCATGCGGCGGTCCTGGGTGTTCCTTCTCAATCTTCTTCTAGACAGGAAATTGAATTAGAAAGACAAATGCCTGCTATGGTGCAGCAGAAGCAACAACAGATATTGGGGTTTGATTTGCAGCAATCTTCTGGAGTGGAAGTTCCACCCTCTGTCACTTACATGCAGCCTTATGCGGATAATCACCAGGAAGCTTTTACTCGTGTGGAATATCTGCAATTGCCTTCCCAAGGTGGATATGCAAATCCCCAGATGTTGAGTGTCGCGGGATCAGCTTACAGGTTTGTTGATCACACACAACAGGTCCGAGAAAACACAGCTGGTGTTCCACCTCATCAATTTATACCTGCAGTTCACATGGACATGACAATGGCGTTTTCATCTCCTTATGTTGGTGTTAAACAGAATGGGGTACAGCAGTACATACAGCCGCAACAAGCACGAGTGGAGCCTTATCCTGAAGAGAGTTCAGTTGGGCAGAAGGTAGTTCAGGTTCCTATTGATCAGAACTACAAAACTTATCAAACCCAGCCCCAGCCTCAACTGGCCTCGGTCCCATTGCAGGCAGGGGTTTATGATTTGAATCAGGTGCCACCTACAGAGCAGGTGGTTTCCTCGGAGGGTTGGGTGCCTCATCAACAGGGGAATTTTCCTGACAAAACTTTGAGATTTGAGGATTGTTATATGTGTCAAAAAGCATTGCCCCATACACATTCTGATACTTTAGTACAGGAACGCAGGGACAATCCCCAAAATACTGTTTCTGATTCGAATCTAGTTTTTCACAGTTTCCCAACAGAGGACAATATGAGGGACCGGACTACGAATAGAGTGGGAGTAACTGGAGCATTGGGGGAGGGCACGGTTGAACACCAAGGCAGTGGGACTCCATCGAAGGTCATGGAACACGTCAATCCTGAGAGGCCTAAATCTCCATTAAATGTACCTGTATTTGCTCAGAATCCTGAGGCTCAACATGACAATGAGAGGATTCTATTCCAAAAACTAGACAACCCTGATAACCCTAGGATGTTATATTCCCCAGCCCCAGGTGTGATGCGATTTCCAGGTGATGTACTGTATTCTGATGGTGTTTTCCCCAATAATGCCCCTCAGTCTGGCCAAGAAGATTCTCTCCAGCAGTCTCCTTTACCGCTCCGGTGCCAAGTTAAACAGGAAGTTTTGATAAATAAAACAGCTGCTACTGATAGCCCTCCTGCAAGAGTCATGCCTTACCAAACTTCACAACCGTTAGGTCATGAAACTATCACAGAGTGCTCTGGTAAGATTCTTGGCTTTGTTCCAAAGGAAGACACATCAGATACTTGCATTTCATATGACCATCTTAGACCAATGGGTTTAAAAATGGAAGCAATATGTATTAGTTCACCTGAAATTTCTGGCAACAATGAACAGACTAGATTACCTGTTAATAAGCCTAAAATGGATGAGATCCCAGATAAAAAACCACAAATTGCAGGGAAGGAAATATTTCTTGCTAATGACTTCATCAAAGCTGGAATTGCTCCTGATGGTAATTGCACGAAACCAGCTGAGATGCTTCCAGTTTCCTCTTCAGAAGTTGTTTACTTGAACAATATTAAATTGGCAGAGCCAAGTCAAGTAGCACAACAACCAACAGTGGGTCATTTGGGAATGCACCCATATCTAAAGAATGAAAATTCTCACATTTCTCCTGATGAAATATGGCATGGTAAGATTGCATTCTCAGGTTTTGATTCACTCTATTCCACTGATAGGATCCCACCTATTGGTGAATCAAATGATGAAGTTTCAAGGTTCCAATCTAGGTTTGTCCTTAATGATGCAGCATTTGTCCCTTCAGGTGCTAATGCACCCTCTGCTTTATCACCACCTAGTGGGATGCTTGGAGACGATTGGGATTCTGCTCCCTCAAATTCACTTTTCAGCAACCAGGATCCTTGGATTTTACGACATGATTCACATTTCACTCCAAGGCTCATCAAGGTGACCACAACCAAAGAAGCCTTTGTCACAAGGGATAATGGTGGGGACACAAGTACAAAGATGCGATTAAATGAAGGAGCTGTTCGCGAGCCATCATGGACTCTGAACAAGGATACAAACTCTGAACATCTCCAAACTGTTAAAGGTGATACATATGTTGTTGATATCTTTATACCATCATCATAGTAATGGTTTCTTAGATTTAGCTTCAGATTTGGTGTGTATATTGATTATATTCTATTTCATTCTTTAAGGTGCAGCAGAGGAACATATCAAGAAGGAGCTGCAGGCTGTTGCAGAAGGTGTTGCTGCTTCTGTTTTTCAACCAACTGTACTGTCTAATAATTCTGACTTCTCCATCCATGAGATAAATGAATCCAGTTCTGAAGCCAACCAAGATAGAGAAATTCAAAATAATGATGCAGAAGCACAAAGTAGAGTTAATGTTGAGGTGCTTAAGCTACCTGGTGTTTCTTGGGCTGTTTAGAATTTAAGGTGAACTTACTTGTCTTAATGGTATTGTAATTTAGGACATGAAGACCAAACTACAAGATAAGGCACATCCTGGTTTTCCAATTTCAGATGGCATTGGTCGACTGCAGGTTGAGGATTTGCTGCTTATGACTCTTACCAGTTGGAGTTGTATGCTACTTGACCAACTTATTCATATCTGTCCCTTTTCCTTTTTGGCAGATAATCAAAAACAGCGACCTTGAAGAATTGAGAGAACTGGGTTCTGGAACCTTTGGCACTGTCTATCATGGAAAATGGAGAGGTTCAGATGTTGCAATCAAAAGGATCAATGATAGGTGCTTTTCTGGGAAACTATCAGAGCAAGAACGCATGGTTTGTGTCTTCTCATCAATGTGATGTATGAACCATAGTTTTCAAGGCACCAAGGCAAGGCTAGGCAACTGGATGATACTTTTTTAATAAATAAAACTCTAAATCCTAGGGCAATTCCCTGGGCTCTGCAGCGGCAATCATCTTTAACTAGTAGTTACCAATAATATTCATTAAAAAATTACAAACTTAATGTTAAAACATAGAAAATCAACATATTTAAGAGAAGAAAAAGAAGAAAGAAAAGAAAATTCAGAAAATATAGGGGCTGAACCCCTGAATTTGTCCTAGGAAAAAAAAAAAAAATAAAGGGTGGAGGAGATTGTTTTGATTGGACAAAATTTCAAGTTCTTCCTTACTCAATGGTTCATATTTCAAAGTCTTCAACGGTCCAAGACAGCATGCTCCAACATGCATAATTTACTTTAAGAACCCTATAAGAAATAAGAAATTAGTTTAATAAGAAATAAGAAATAAGAATGAACCCTAGAAAGTAAGAAAATAATAAAAAGCTAGTATATTAACTTACAAATGAATAATTTAGTATAATAATGTTTATTTTATTCTTATAATCTCAAAAGATAAAGAATATAAAAATATTTTATAGTGTCATGTACAAAATCACTATGTACTTGAGTGAGACAATCCTCCATGGGCTCCTTGTCATCTAGGTATCTCCTTGGCAACTATGGTATGCACATTTTGATATTGCTGTTGTTTTTATCCTTATACTACTGATTTTGCATTTAATCAGAGAGATGACTTTTGGAACGAAGCAATCAAGCTTGCTGATTTACACCACCCAAATGTAGTAGCTTTCTATGGTATTGTGCTTGATGGTCCTGGGGGTTCTGTGGCAACAGTAACAGAATACATGGTTAATGGATCGTTGAGAAATGCTTTACAAAAGAATGATAAGTAATCCTCTCTTTTTCCTATTTTTGATTCTTATATTCTCTTTCTGTATTGCCCATAAGATACCTAATAGACATGCTTTAAGCATCCCCTTCCCTTCATGTAAGTGCTTGATCATTTCTAATTATCATCAGGATCATTGACAAGCGGAAGCGCGTCTTAATTGCAATGGACGTGGCTTTTGGGATGGAGTACTTGCATGGGAAGAATATAGTTCACTTTGACTTAAAAAGTGACAACTTACTTGTGAATCTTCGAGATCCTCATAGGCCAATATGCAAGGTCAGTTTCCAATTCCATGATTTCTTAATGACTTATTGGATCTTGTATGGTAAACCTGTTTGGAACCTACATTAAATCAGTTGCTGCATGATAATCTTCAAGTGCATCATGGTTATTGCAAGCATGCATATGCTTATGGGACTTCCTTTCTATAATTTGGAGGAGAGTAGGACTGCCAAATGAGCTTAAATAATTGTTTAATTGAGTGTGGAAATTGTCACTTATTGTTGTTGTTGTTATTTTGAGGAGTGACTTTGTAAACAAAGAGCAGAATAAGGAACGTACACAGATGTACAAGCAAAATAAAATAAAAGAAGCACAGTGCCAACCCAAGAAATTACAATGACACAATGTTTCTACCATACAAAAAAGGTCCCCCACTCTTTTAGCTAATCTATCAGCTACAGAATTTAGTTCCCTTAGAATCAATCTAGTCTGACTATTCAACTGAGTATTTCTCTAAAGTGGTTATCAGCTGGATTTTGAACGATAACTTAGTCAATTGGAGGTACATGAATGAAATCAGACGTTTTAGATGGTTTTCTAGATAGATGAACTTAAAAATTCAATGGGCACAAAGATCAACCAACAGCTTGGCTGATGGAATAACTAAACAGGTGTCCAGCAGGCAACAGTTATTTTTGGCTCAATTGTAAAGGATTGTATTGGGGTAAAATGGCAGGGATTATTCTCTTAAAGAACTTAATTGTAACATTACAACCTCTTGTTGCACTTATGGAATCATCCTTGACCTATTGGTCCATTAAATGCCCAAACCATATCACCATCTGTCTTGAAAATGATTCCACCAGTATTTGCTTCACTTATGGAGCCAGGGATCCCCATGCAACTACCATCAAACTAAAGTTTGAATTCAGTGTCTTGACTAAGGTTAGAGACTGATCTTGTAAGGGGCTCATAATTAAAGGATTAGATGATCACCAAAAGGTTTTAACAAAGTCTCCATAGTTAATGCCTTCAAAGATTTTGCAGGAAAATCCATGAATTCATTATGGATACAATCCTCCCCCTAAGGGCTTAAAAGGGAGTAGCCTTGTTCTCATGCATTCTTCTCAAATGCACCACAGAACTGCATGAGTTACAGCTTTCCACTATAGTCTGCTTGTGATCTAAAATTCCTATTAGTCCATTTTTAAGGAAATCTCAAACCTCTAATATTTTTGGGGGGATCCCAACAGTAACTGCCACCTTTTTTCTGGATTGGTAACAATGGCAAATATTTTGTTCATTTGAATTGAGGTAATTGCAGTGGTTAAGCACCTTGTACTCTTTTTGGGTTGTTTGCCTCGGTTAACTCCCCACCTGCAATTTACACAGCTCCCCCATTTGATACAATATCCCAAAACATTTGGTTCCTGTTGAACCTTTATTTTTCCAGTCCATCTTCTAAGGAGTTGGCTGACCTTGCAGTCCACTTTTATTTTGTTTCAGTTTCCATTGATAGCTTTAAAATTTCCCTTGACATATTTCAGTATCTCCAAGATCCTGCTCTAATATTCCTAATCCAAGCAAGAAAAATTTTCGATGTCCTTCTACCAATATGTCATTAAAGTTGAGATAATTGGTCAACCTCAGATCTTGCAAAATGGCTATCATCTCTTTCCATGTCAAGGAAAAACTGCCAGAATTTTCTAGTGATAGCAGAACTAACAAGAAGATGACTGTTGAGTGGGCCGACTTGTGTTTAGTTTATTTTCTTTTAAATTAAGATGTTGTTGGGCTTTGGGCCCATTAGTCTTTTATTTTTTAAAGAGCTGTAATTATTTAGTTTGAGTTGCCGC